CGACAAGTCGCCACTTTTTGTTTCCACTCTGATCCACCGTTTTCTCGGGCACTATCCATAATGGGTTCAGCCATGGAGTCGTAGATTTTACGACTATGTCCCCTTTCAAAAGTTTGTCGATTTCCTTCTGCATCTGATCCTTAATTTTTGGTGGATATCTGTAATGTTTTGGGGCGAAAGGCTTTTCCGATGTCGTTCTTATTGAGCATTTAATGACATTGCTGATTGGAAGTGGCTGGCCATCTAGTCCAAAGATATAAGGGTTGTATTCTATCAACTCTTTTACTGCAGCTAGTTCCTGTTATTGCTCGTTCGCCCAACATTTATTATTTAATTTGTTTATTTATCGCTATCATTTCTTGCACGCGTCTTCGCTTGTCAGGCGAGCACGAGTGCAAGAGAGCAGGGTAAAGGAGAGAAATAATTACAACACATTTTATACTGCATTCAACTTATTTATTAATAATCTTACAATTAATCGACGATGCTGCTGCTGCTACTGGGTTGGCTGGCGCTGATGCTGCGTTGACGTTTGGCTGTTGCTGTTGCGTTGATGGTTGGACGTGGCTGTCAATGGTGGAAGTCTCGGCGGCGATTAATTTGGATGATCGTTGACTTACTGCACTTTTAACTTGTAACTGTACACTGACTCTACTAAACCAGCGTAGCTCCGCCGTACGTAATGTCTCATACTGGATTTTATTCGTCCTTGTCCGCGACTACTCTCTACAAAGAAGACGTAGCTCTGTCATACTGAAAGTTCAAAATCAGTCTCTCCCCCTCGTCTAATTTTTGACTGGTATATATATCGAATCCTTATCGCTGGTGCCTTTGTGGAGTAACCCTCGTACGATGCGTGGGCCAGTGATTGGAAATACCTGCAACTGATTGCAATTTCTTCGAATTGTAGTAGCTCACGGACCTCGATATACATCTGAGAAAAATAGTGTAACGTGCGTTCGATCATCCGTGGGCTACAGGCCCAGTGTGTGCTATCATCATGCTATCATAGCGTTCGCAGAAGTCGCACTACCCATGGTATAGGAATGCTAAGAAACCCTTCTGTAGTATTTAAACATTCAGCAAAAATCCATCCATCTCTGTTTTGTCCAAAAAAGTTACGAAATAAAATCCCATCTTTCAGGTGCTGTAAGGGAACCCATCCGACTAGTTCATCGTTAAAAGCACGAGCTTTAAGGGGGGGGGGGGGGGGGGGGGG